AAGGGGCGGAGGTGGCAGTTTCAAAGGGGAAGCCACAGCCCTGCTGATCCCAGGCTCCGCGCAGCATTTCCCTGGAACGTGGGGTCAGCAGCATGCAGCGTAGCATGGAGCCTGGGGTCAGTGGGGGACTGAGTCCCCAACTGACCCCAGGCTCCATGGCTTTGAAATGCACAAGAGCCCCTGCTGGGGCCTCTTGTGCATTTCAAAGCAGGCACTCCCTGCAGCCCTGAGTCAGAGGGACTTCTCGCTGGCCCCCAGCTGTGCACAGAGTTCCGCATTCCTTCGTTGAAATGTACAAGAGCTCCAGCAGGGGCTCTTGTACATTTCAAAGGAGGAATGCAGAAGTGCCTATTGACTAGTCGACTAGTCAATTAACTGCATTTTAACATCCTTAGCCCGCACTAGCTTTAAGCTAGCTCAGTAAAAAGAGCAGTGGCAATATAGCATCACACACCAGCAATGCGAGTATGTATTCAAGATTCTAGATGTGCTCAGAAGGGCTGACAGCACGCGGACCTGGGGTGGGTGTCTCTGGGCGGTGCTGGGGTGGGTGTCTCTGGGCGGTGCTAAAGGCTAACTGCCTGAGAGCAGTGCTGGGCCCCTCATCCATCCCTCAAAGTCACGTAGAGCACTGGGCACAGCGCTCCACCGGCAATTCAATGGGCCTGGGGCTCTGGCCACTGCTGCAGTAGCTGCAGCCAGGAGCTCTGGACCCCTTTGAAATGCCACTGGAGCACCATTCTGCAGGGCTCTGGGGGCGGGTGGGGTGAAGGGAGCTCGATTCCCCCCCCGCTCCCCGTAACTAATGTTGCTGGGGGCCGGCCTGGGGGATAGTCCCCATTCTTTGCGTGGAATTAAGTGGCGGGGAGGGGGAAAGGCCAGGCACCCCCCACTCCCCGCAAGAGCATTTAGATGGCTGCACTACTTTTTAGCTTGGAGAACAAGAAGGTGGCAGGATTTATGTGAGCTACCACACATCCCTTTAATGCTAAGGGATTGAGCTCCTGTGTGTAAATTGAGAAGAACTGTCAAAAAAAAATTGTCAACTTCCTGTTCCGCCACAGAAAAACAGCATGAAACAGACACCGTCTAATCCCAGGACAGCGTTCCTAAAATATGTATTAGGATTTGTAGTGCATTTGTTTTCCCCTTCTCACCCTCCAGGGTGCTGATCATGTTCTTGAAGTAGCTCTGGCTGCCTAATAACTTACTATTGTTATATGTTAAAATAATGAGTCTAGAGGTTGCTTTGCTCATGGCAGGGGTCGGCAACCTTTTCAAACCCAAGAGCCAAACTACATCAAATTTCAGAACAAGTTGTTAAAGCACCAGTATAAGAATGCCCATTTGCATGACTGGTACATCAAATTTCAGAACAAGTGGTTAACAAAGCACCAGGATAAGAATGCCTATTTGCATGACTGAAAATATACAGTTTGATATTACTAATAATTGACATGATGATTAATAATAGCATAAATGAAATGTACTCAAGGACTTTATTTAAATGGGTCTTCTGCTGCTGTACCTTTTTGCACGTCTTTGAAATTTCTATCATAACTGGTCAAATTCAGCTTCATGCACGCATTCAGGTCTGTCTTCTGTCAAACTTGAGCACAAGTTACCTTTGTTGCAATTCAAATGAGAGAAAGTCTGCTTTCAATGATTGGTTCCACCTATGTGTGTAAGTAAGGCCAAGCTGCAATTCTGCAGGGTGGTGTATCTGACAGGAAGTTCTTTCCAAGTTTGCAGAATCAGATCATCATCGTGCTCCAATTTCTTCAGGTCAAGCTCATTTGTGCAGTCTTGCCAATTCTGCACATTGTCAAGCAAGGCATTCTAAGTCATAACTCAGCTTGATGACTTTTCCATCCAGCTGACTCCTTGAAATCAGCTATTTCCATTTCCAAATCTCTGACTGAGATGCCCGGAACGACTGTCAAATCCAATTCCTCAACAGATGCTTTATGTGGAGGAATCAAACGGAGCCCTGTGTTTGCAAAAGTCAACAAAACAAGACTTGAATGCCATCAGGAGCTGAAAAACAGACATGGCAAGCTGCTGCAAATCAAGGCTGTTCTTTCAAAATGTGCCTGTCTGCCCATCTCCATCTCTTTGATGAAGCCAGTCAATTTTGACTCAAATCCAAACCCTAACTGCTGCAGAGTCAGGACTGTATTTTCTTGCCGTGTAGCTTAAGGTTCAACTCATTCAAATGACCAGTAATGTTGATGATCTAGTAAAACTTGAGTGGAGAGGATGGATGGTTGTTTAACTGTTCATTTTAAGGTAAAATGGACCCAGGCGTCCCCAAGTCAGCCGCTGCTGAAACTGACCAGTGGCTGACTACAGGAAG